TATAGTATTTAGCAGAGTAATTCAGTCTAATTTCTAGAGTCAGACTGTCTGAGTTGACATCTTGGATCTCCCACCTCATAGCTTGTTCACATTGGGTGAATATCTTGACCCCCCCACCAAAGTTTCTCATTCGTGAAATGGGGATAAGCATAACATTGGAGGATTACGTGAGTTAAAAAGAAGTGCTGAAAACTAAGCAAAGTCTGACACAGAGTTGAGTGCTTGAAACATTTTTAGTATCATTATTCATGTAGTCAAACACTGTGCTAGTTGCTAAGTCGATAGTTTGATACAACCCTTAAGTACTGTAAGAGTTTAGAGAAAAATCATTGGATGTCAAATAATCAGAGAAGGCTTTGTAGAGTAGATAGATTCTAGCTTAACATTGGGTCCAAAATTAGGTGACGGTTAGGACTGGGATAGGTGACGTGGGAAGAAAGAACATGGTCCCTACTGCAGTGGGCATGCATGGGTGGTTCGAAGAAAGAGCTCGAGTAGGGGTTGCATTGGAAAGTAGTTGACAGAAGGGTGCTTGTGTTAGGTGTAGGGCTTAAGGTTTGTATGGCGAACAGTCAAATCCCTCTGGGAGGACGGGTGACATGGTGAATGTGTTGTTTAAGGCAACAGTAGATAGATTAATGCCCTCCAGCACAGCGGTCTGGGTCCTCCCTGGTACCTGTTATATGCACCATGCCTGAATGACCACATGATTTCATGGATCATCTACATGTTGATGACTCCCAATTCTATATATTAACCATAAAAATAACAGCTAAATTCTGTCACAGTCCAATCCCAATCTAGTTTTCGTCTTTCAGCCCTGTACACTCCTCTGCTTACACTCTGTGCTTCCAGCGTATCCAATTTATCACCATTCTTTGGTCAAACCTAACTTTTTCATGGCTGAAGCTTTGCATGTGCTACTTTCTTGGCATAGTATCCCCTATCTTCCTTCTTCCCTTGGAAAGCTCATACTTACTTTTTAAGATCTAGCTAAGTGTTACATTCTTGAAAAAAAGCCTTTAACATAGTTATTTGCCTTATGTGCTGTGTTCCTACACTGCTTCTTATCTTTACTATGATATGTGCTAAGTTGCATTGCAATTTCAATGATTCTTTTTTCTAGAGTGTGAGCTCTTTGAGGATAGAGAGGCTATGTTTGATTCTTTTTTTCTGTCTTTAGTGACATGTTTTTCCAAGAGTTTATGCTTGATAAATGTTGGCTAAACAAGGAAAGAATGCATTGAAGTTTGGAAGATATTGTTAGACTTACTTAGAAAGCACCAAATAATGAAGAGAACCCACTTCACTATGGAGATAGAAGTAATTGGAAAGAAAAAGTCATATCAATAGCAACTAGGACTTGTATGATAGTCCACTAAAATGAAACAAGGTGGAGGAGAAGGAAGGATAAGTCAGTTATGGCTCTCTGTTTTTAGCTTGGGTTACTGGGAAAATGGAGAGTAATAGTAACATGAAAAGGAAGCTTGGGAGTGAAAGCCTCTTTGGGAAGACATGAGAAGGAGATGACTGATTTTGTTTTGACTCAAGATGGAGCTCGCGGTGATGTAAGGACATTCCAGGCAGCACTCCAGGCAGCATCACTTCCATGACATACCACCACACAGTTAACTCTTTTTCTAACTTTCTAACTGTTCTTCTGTTTTCTCTTCAACAATTCATGATGATGACACCACCCAAATCTGAATTAGCAATCTTTGTATATTTTTGATCTCCAGTCTGATCACTGCAACCAGACTGGAGATCAAAAATATACAACAATTGCTAATTTGTATTTTTTTGATCTCCAGTCTGATCACTGCGACCAGACCAGAGATAAAAAATATACAAAAATTGCTAATTTGTATATTTTTGATCTCCGGTCTTATCTTAGTCATCTAGTGCTGCCATAACAGAAATACCACAAGTGGATGGTTTTAATGAAGAGAAGTTTATTTCCTCACAGTCAAAGTAGGCTAAAAGTCCAATTTCAGGGTGTC